ATATATATATATATATATATAAATACTAAATATAAATAAGATTAATGATAACTTGACTTATGCTAACCTTATTTATTTTTCATATTTATTTTAGTTAGTGTTGGATAAGTTCACACTAATTTGACATTAAAACATATATTATTTATTAAAAAAAATTTCTTAACTTTTTGGAAAATAAATTAACCTTTTACATTGCATTAGAGTCAATCCTAAAATCTACATATTAAAAAAATAATAATAAAATATAAATTTATGTCACAGATTTGAAAATAATGTTAAGGAAAAATGGAGGATAGAAAGTAATTAGTATAAGAAAATGGATAAGGATGATAAATCGTGGGATTATATGTGGCAAAAAGGGTTGAGACGACTTCTTCAACCTAATAGCCCGACACAATCACTCCCGCCCAACTTGACAAACCTGACATCATTAAAAAACATTAATGTAAGAAACTTACCCTTGCTCGAAACAACATTCAGGTCACCTTAGCAAGCCAGCAACCCGACATCATTAAAAAAAACCTAAATTATTTAATGAATGAATATGTTTTGATATATTTTAAGAAATTCAAATGCAGTCTGATAGCCTGCTTGGCAAGCCGATGATCAACCTGGCATGAGCACAGCAACCCACTCGACATAGGCCAGTTTCAACCTGATAACTCGACAAGTCGGATTATAAAATTCAACCTATTCTTAAATGGTAAGCCAGTCCAACCTGATCCATTTTTTTAGGTCAAAGTTAGGTCAGACTTAAACGGGTTGAGTTGACCTGTTTTGCCATCCTCCTATATGGGATGAGTGAAAATTTGACCATCACATTGTATTTGTAAAGTAAATATTTATCCTAATCTTCACCAAATTGAAAATTTTGTCTCATTTCTATTTCTATTATTGCAGTTATAGAATAGACAACATGCATTTATGTTTATGTTTATGTATGTCCTTTAATATTTCAAATATTAATTAAATAGTTTTTGTAATTAAATAGTTTTTACAAAAAGTAAGAAAAATATTAAATATTATAAAAAATAGAACAAATAATCACATGTGTCATAGATGCAAATTTTAAAATTAAGGACAAAAGAAAACTTAATACAAGTTTTTTATATTATCTATTAAACTAAAAGTGTTTGAGTAATTTAAAACGAACACAAATGTAAAAACTTGAGTATTAAAATAGAGATACAATAGAATGAATATGTATATATCCGCTATATCCAATTTAAAAAGCTAGTATTAACCATATTTAATTAATATGATAACTTTTTTATTAAAATCGAACTAATTGATAAAATATCGCATGTTCATTTATTATCTTAAGAATAAATAGATATAAAGATATATTTCTTATTCGATACAAATATAAAAAATATATATTTTTCATTAGGTCAATATTTTTTAGTTTTATCTAGATTTACAGAAAAAAGAATAAAAAATATAAAAAAGTAATATTTTTTATAATTACTCTTTTCCTATTTATTTCAATAATAAATATATAAATACTTTTGTAATCATAAAATTACTTAATTTTAATTTACTTATTTATTATTTTTAAAATAAAATATTTCTTTCATTTGTATGCCGTATTTTATCGTCAAACAAATAAATATACTTTTTATTATTTACGTGTCTCTTCAATAAGACTTCTTTTCATATTCTTTTCTTATTATCCAAGTTAGGATCAGAAAAAGAGCATTGATATGAACAAAGAAACAACAATTTGAAAACTTATTATATTAATATTTTAATACTTTTAAAATTAAAATATTAATAAATTCTTATATTATTAAAATAAAATTCTCAAGAAGTGAGTGTTAAAATACAATTTTCCTGTGGAAGCAGGGTCACAATTAATCATTTAGATATACAGACACTTAAAAAAATATCTCATTAAAAAAGGCAAAAGTTACAGAATCATTTATACATATGCAAAAACCAGTGCTTGTTAGATTCTACAAGCATTTAGTTAAGAAAAGAAAGAACATGAAGTGCTTAATCTAAGATTCTAAATGTTCCAGTCATTGGAACCTCACAACTATGCAAGAAATATCATCTTTACTTTTCTTGGAAACTGCTTCTTCTATCAAGTGCTTTGCTGCAGCTTGAGCATCCTTTATTTGCCTAATGGAATCCACTGCTTCTTGGTTTGACATTACCTGAAAACATCATTGGAAATTATCAAATCATTGAATGAATTTAAAACTATTTTTTTTCTGTCAAAGTTGCTTTTACTTCTAGAAACCAAAATAGAAACATTGCTTAAAAGGAATTAGGAAGTGAAAGAGAAAGAAAATGATGAGAAAGTTAACCTTCCATATTCCATCACTGGCCAGAATAAGAAACTCTGTATGATGAAGTACTTCCTCTATAAACACATCAGGTTCTGAACTAAGATGCATCTTCAAGCTCCTATCACCAAAAGCTCTTGCTACTGCTAACTGTCCATCTACTCGAGGGACATCTCCTGCAAGAAACATAAATTCAAATGTTCTATATTACCAATTTTGTTCATAGTTTCTATGCATTTCTTCTTCAAACCAAAATGCATGTATATAGATTATAGCATACTTGCAAAGCATATCATGTCATGTCTCTCATTCTAAGGCTTGTAGGAACTGAGAATCAAATGACTTTTTACGTTAAAGGAGAATATGGAAGAACTTATTAAAACTTATGAAAAGCACTTCTGACTCGTAGAACATGGTTGTAACTTATAGGTTCATTTTAGCATATGCACATGTTGCTCTTTCTGTGGTACAGAACACATAGAAAAGCTGGTTTTTTACCTGGAATGTTTGATACAAAGCCTCCACGTCTCTCAATAGATTTCTTTTCCTTGCTTGGTTCATGATCTACAGACAGTTGCCTAGCCTTTCCATGCTCACAAATAACAGCTCTTGAGTCACCAACATTTCCTACTACAAGCTTCTGACCATCTATCAGTATTGCAGTTACAGCTGTTGACCCTCCTCGCCCCAATTCAAGTGCTTGTTCCAATATTTTCTCATCAGTTTCAATATAAGCCCTCTTCACTGCGTGTTCTGTCTCATTCCAAAAGTCATGCTGCTTGCAGAAAACATCAGTATGAATTACAGAAGAATCTCTTGAAGCAGGTTTAGAAGAAGGGTATTCATTATTAGATGCTCTCAAACTCGGAAAAACATTGAGGGGCCACCAAGTACAATACTTAGATATGTTAGATGTTGTTTGTGTTAGTGTTGTTATCCTATCAAATTAAGTTTTACTCTAGTAATCATGTA